TAAAGCGACAGTATGGTGGTAATTAGGCATATGATGATTCTTTATATCATTAAGAATTATGAATGTTATCATAACGTGTTTTACCTTTCGATCTACATTCTGACTATCACCAGAAATTCGTATATGAATTGTTGGATTATTAGCTGATAAAACATTTTCCTGTATCAAATACGAAATTATGTATCGAAGGATTTCTTTAAAGTCACGTTGTTCACCTATATATTCAGATCTACTGATTTCATTAACGTTAATAGTATTAGTATCGATATTATCAGGAATTATATCAATATGATTAGGTTCTTCTTCCAAATTAGAATTGTTTATTGCCTTAATCATATTTATAAGATTAATCTGAATCTTATTGATTATCTCCTGGGTTAAATTATTTCGTTCATTTGCAATAATATATTCATGTGGTAAGTGAAAATTTATTGCAGCTAAGTCTCTATATGCATCTCGTGAAATATAACTGGAATCCATTACTTTAATTATATTTAAGATCTTTGCTTTTTGTTGTAGAAGATTTTTATCTCCAATATTAAAATAATAATTTTGATTATTAATGGTATATTTGAGTGATTTTAATGAAACAGAGTCTTGTGTGTTATATATAAGCTCACTAGTTCGAATAAATTCTTGTTTAAGTATTGTTGCGAATTCTTTTGCATGCTTTATAAGAGTTTTCTGAGAATATTGCTCCGCAGGTTTGATATGTTGTCTAGCTCGAAGTTTTCTAAGGTTCTAAGTTTTTGAAGTTGTAATCTGAATAGTAAAGGCCCAGATAAAGAACCATTTTTGTTTGAATTTCTAGTTATGGCCTTCTTATAATTTTTTACAGCTTTGCTGACTGATGTATTTGATTTAACTTCGAATTCAAAAAAGGTGCCATATAAAATTTGAAATTCTGGTTGTCCATTTTTGTACTTGATCTTGCACTGGACTGTTTGCTGATTTTCAGCACGCCCTCAAGTGGTTTTTACGGAATAATCATTAGGGATTGGATACTTTTTAGAAGGCAAAGTATAGCGAAGTTCAGGATAATAGGGATAAAATCCCTCAGCTTCTATAAAATAATTAAATGATTGTTGAATTATATTATTTTTTTTTCTTGGTAAGTAATTGTAGAGATTTGGGGATAATCGTCTAACTCAAAGGTTTTAATTTCTGATTTATTTTTAATCATTAAGTAATCTGGGTGATTTGACATTGCGAGAAAAAATTTTGATTGATTTGGACGTTCTCAAAAAATTGGTTCAAAATAAAGTTTACTTTTAACACGAGCGATTTTTATAGTATTTATGTTTTTGTTTTAATATACTGTAGATATTATAGATAGAGACAAACGGAAATTTAATAAACTTTTAATTATGTAATATTACAGCATTGCGCTTAGATCTCTAGATTAGCAATAGAAGCACCAACAATTGCTTTGCTAACAACAAAAAAATTTATTAGCGATTGTCAATGAAACAAACCATCAGAAATATTGTGTAAAGATCCCGAGCAATAATAAAAAAACCTAAATTTGGAAGTTTAAAATTTATCTGTTATTTTTTCAAATTAATATTAGATCGATAATTTCCTTTTGCTGTATTTTCAAATTAATATTAGGCCATTAATTTTTATGATCACACTAAACCCTCTATGGAAGAGTGTTCAGATTTATGCAATTCAGGTATTTGAACAATGACAAATTTCCAAAATTGCATAAGTCTGAATAAGCATGCATAAAGATATTAACCTTAATAATCAAACTCGCACCATTATTAAGTCTAATAGGAAGAAAGTTTTGGCATCGTCAAGATATAATCAATATACATATCTTTAATAACGATCACTAAATAAAGTTAATGGAGCTATTTATTATGTTTGTCGTTCAAGTAGAATCATTTCAACAAAGCAATTTTGAATGATATTTTAATGTAAACATGGATTGGATAATTAGTATACATAATCGCTTTATAAATAAAATAGCATTTATATTTTATTATTAATGAAGAGTTGGCTAGATAATGTTTTGCTATTATCAAATATGTGAAAAGCAATACTTTGATATATCATATACAGTATATACAATGCTGAATGTGAACCAGAAGTAAAACTTAAAGCAACAAGAGGTAAAATGGTGCAGTAGTGACTGGACTCGTGTTAACTCGTAACTCGCGAATTAAATTCTGAAGAGTGCTCGAATCATTCGAATAATAATATTCTTCAAGTTTTATTCGAGTTATTCGAATCACAACAATTAATTTATTGAAAGTTTTGTAAATTGATAGTTACAAAAGCAAATATACTTCGAATAAAGAGCTACACAAAGTAAATATAATTCAAATTATGTTATTATCGCAGATTATAAGTTATGAAAACAAGTAGTGTATTAATTATTTGTCAACTTGAAATAATGTCCGGCAAATTCATGTTGCTTTTTAAAAATCACCCACCAATTCTGGATCAAGGTTTTGCTTTTGTTGTCATAGTACTGTACTTTGACTAATTTTTTCAGCATAGAATTCCTCCTGTTCATTATTACTTTAGTTTGCGTCATTTGTATATAAAATTTTATTTTTATTAAATATAGCAATTATACAGTTTATTTAAATTTCAATGAGCCATATATGTTGTAAGTGGAAACGGAATTTAACCCTAATTTAACTATGTAGGAATTCCAAATCCACTTAAATTCCATTCCCACTTACAACATATAGAAGTGCCTAATCTAAAAATTGTAAGATATAAACGAAATTTGGTCGCTCACGTTGAATAAGTCATACTGCAATATCAATTAGATCTCGCGAAAAGTCCAGAAATCAGAACCTAACATACCTTAAAGAGAAAGAGAAAAATACATTTAAATATGGTTAATATATGGTATATAGATAGTAATAACATTCAGATACTTAGTTATCAGTGGAACTGCATAATCAGTAGTAAATTTAAACTTTTAAAATCTTTTTTTTTTTTTAATAAAAAAAAATGTCTCGATTTAAAAGTACTCATCTGTTACAGTCTCATGTTTAACGTTATTTATCACAGATTATATAATTTTGTATTTTCGAGATTGCTCTAAAGTATGTTGCAGAAGCAGTGACTAGTGGCTGGTGACTAAAAGAATACTAATATCTATACACTTAACACTAAAAACTATAACAAATAAGCTATGAAATACCAAATGTAGGCTGTGAAAGCGTGGAAAAATTTAGTCCGAGTTTTGGGCTTTTTTGTTATTGTGGTGGTTACGGGCAGGGTTGGCAATGGAGCCAGAATGGAGCCAGAATGGCGGTGTTGGATGATGACTTATGTCATACCATTTTTTTCTATACGACCTTAGTCATATACCCGTATGACTTTTTGGTCATAGTCATATCGGTCATATTAAATACTAATGAAGAAAATTTTTACTATGATTCTTACAATATTAAAAAAGACCATAAGTCATATCAATCTTCGTTATGACCAAATGACCTATGACAGGTCATAAGGGTCATATAGGTTACTAGTTTTTGGGCTACGCAATTGGACTTGTTAGATAAGTATTTCCTCTTAATATCTCTATTTTTTTCTAATTCTTTCACTCTTTATATAGCTACTAACAATCCTATGTTATTTCTTATTGCGACGGTATGCTATTCCTATCGTGAATTCTGGTTTATAGTATCATGTTATATGGTAATTTTAAGTGTATAATGACATGGACGACAAAGTTAATCGGTTGGTTTTTAATATATAAGGGCTCTGATTTCTAATTGACACTTTTCTTCTTTACTTTTATAAAACAAGAATATGGGTTTTACGAATATTACGGGCCAAGAAATAATGAAGGTATGGTACGAATTTAATGATCAAAGAAAAAACTTTTTAGAGGACCACACTTTCTACTAAGACCTTCGAAGTTTTGGAACTTAACTGAGTTACTTTTATTTGAGAGTAAGTTGGGTCACTTATATACTTGTTATTTTACATATACACAGTGGCTCTCGATATAACGGAGGCCATGGTTCCAGTTCTTTGCTCCATTATATCAAAAGCTCCGTTATATCAAAATCTCATGATATATAAGATATTATAGTAAATCATAATTTGGTCCCATTATAATTCTCCGTATTAAGCAATTTCCGTTATATCGATGGTCCATTATATCGAGAGTCACTGTGTAAAATAAAATTTAAAAATTTATAATTTCTTTGCTTTATTAAACTTCTTGTGCTGCGTCGATTGCTGAGTAGGGGTAAATTTGACGTTTACAACGTACGTACGTATATACATGCGTCAGTACGTATATAATAACGATGTCAAATTATATGACTCAATAGGATTTAGACTCTTGGGTTTTGGGTGGGACTCTTGGTTTTGACGCATTATCTTGCATGATCTATTATATCCTTGAATTATTTAGGGGTTTATTTGAATTATTTAGGGTATTTATTTAAATTTATTGAGTATTGTTCCGTATTGCAGACCAATTAAAAACGATTAATTATGGGGTTTAAAATAACTCCAGTGCCTCTGTTTAGGGCCCAATGTCTCCGATTAGCCCATATGTTGTGACACAAGGACATTATACGCTATGCCGTAACTATATCGGTGAATTAGCAAGTTTCAATTTGCCGCATTTTTACTCGACAAGTTGTAACTAGTTATAACTGAGTTTCGACACGGCACATCCCAATGATTCAAGTTTCACCTGACCTCTAAACACGACGGATCACACAATAGTTTTTTTTTATAAAAATAGAATTAAATTTAGGTCGTTCTTGGTTTCGTCGCACAGCTACCTACTGTAGTTATTTGGTGCATTTACCTATATTTCTTAATACCGTAGCCACAAACTATAATACCCCTGCTATAATGTCCCAGGTATTATTCTATATAGTCTAGTATAATACCCCCAATAACCCGGATACTATGGTGTCTTTACCGCTAATAAATTTTTTCCAGAAATTGCGTAATGATCTTCATTAAATTTCCAAATTTGGGGCGTTCCCTCCTGCAACACGAGTCATGATCTACAAATTAGTTAGTCACGCTCGGGGACGTAAAAATCGCAGTCATTTCGTGTTTGCAATCCCACAATTCTTAAATTGTATATAAGGCCCCTTTTCTTTCTCTTCGCTACTTTTCAACACAAACCATTACACTACTCCGCTTTGAAACTTGATAGTTTATATTTATACTATCAAAGTAAAAAGCGGAGAAAGAATAATGGAAACCATGCCATTAAAGAAATACTAGCGCTAGTATTGGCATGGTTTCATACAAAGGGTGCCAAGTAGGTAATTTTTTTTTATTTTAAAGCGGGAGGGTTTATTGGGGTTTGTGGGTATAAAAATCTAATTTTTTTTAGATAAATAAATCAATTAGATTTTTTGTATTTTTTCTTTTACCATTTCGGTAATATATTTCGAATTTTTTATCGTGTTTATTATACCTTCGGAAATTTTAGTGTTATAATATATTTCTTGACGTTTTGTAACATTTAAATTTTTTTCCTATAAAAACGTATGAAAATGCAAAAAGTATTTTAACCAGTGATTTATTTTTTTTTTGTAACTATGCTTTTAGAATAGGTTTATTCACATAGCTGATCATCACCACTAGTGAGAAAGCGACGCGCATTGTTAGAGCTAAGCTGTCCTGGATCGTACCTAGTTCGGAGTGTGATCACACGAGCATAACGATGATGCTGAACAAGAATATCAATATACTGTAGTTATATGCTAAGCCATAAAATGTATACTTCAGTCAAGGCGTGGTTCGAGTATTAGGATCTTGATCTCGCTGCGGTAAGGAATTTGCAGTTGTGTTTTTACCATCCATCAAATTCTGCTTTTCTGAAATAACGCTAATTGCTTTTATTCACTACATTATTACCATTTACTCTAATTCTGTCTCGTAGCCGGACTTCAAACTTTTCGAATTTTTGGATTACGATTCTGGTTATTTCGTATTACCGTATATTTGATTTTGTTATCGGTTATTATATTTCAACTCAGATTTTAACAATACTGACTATACATGTGACCGAAACTTTTAACGGTTTTGACGAAACCGAAAGTCGGAAACCCTGATTCGAAACTCATGCCGAAATCTGAAACCCTTGCCGAAACCTAAAATTTAGCCGAAATTGATTTTTATAAAATTGAAACCCGAAAGTGAATATTTTTTAAGTTGTCAGTGTGTTAAATTTATCTCTGAAAAAAAAAAGGTTATTTAATCACATATACGGTACAATAAGTGTTACAGTATAGCGTTTTTGAAAAATACACGCAGCGTAGCGAATCCAAAATTTATTAACTCCTATTGTTATGTGCTAATAAAATAAATCGAGGAACAAAATATGTATTAAAGTTTTATTAAATTTTCCTTGATACATTATCTTGCACCATTATGTATACAAGCATTACTTTAAAGACATTTTCAGCAAACGTTTTTGTTGAACAGTATCCAACTGCATTATATATTCTGGCCCACCGTGATACTGCTTAAAAAATATATAAAATTAAATATTATATAGGTTAGAAAATTTTTCATTAAAAACAAAAAAAAAGACTAATCATATACGTATGTGGTTTGTGGTTTGTGGTTTTAACAAAACTTAAATATCCGCTGCTTACTGATTTTAACTTAAAAGCAAATCTAAGAATTCACATCGTTATCAATTTCCATTGACATATTTCTAGCTAATGTTTCAACGTCAAAATCACTGTGTTGTGAATTTAATATGATAGTTTGTCTTCTTGGACTGACTGTAATTTCATTATTTACTTTTTGGTCCAGGTTAAAGATTTGCAACCCGATATTTATGTCAGTCATAATACTTAAAGTATGCACCTCGGTTGTATCGATATCTATTTCTGTACTAAGATTATCATTGTTTGTATCTAAAAAATCAGTGGTTTCATCACTTTCATTATTAATTGCTGTAACTGATTCGATTAGTTGGTTACGTAATAAATTTTCAGGCATATCAACTACATAACAAGGTAATTCTTGTTTTGCATTAGTAATATAAAAGGTGTGTAATTTGCACATTCCTTCCGCCCGCTCTGCAGCCAAATTAGTACGTCTTTGATTATAAAACCAACCAAGAACCGAGAAAGAACGCTCACAAGAAGCACTATGTGGAGTTATTGCAAAAAGACGAAGTGCCAACGCTTGTAACTCCCATTCTTCTTTTTTATGTTGTGCAGTGTCCCACCAAATAATCGGCGTATCTGATCTAAGATTGTACGGTTGATCAAATGGTGCCTTTTTACTTTTATATTTTCATAATTGGGATAATAAATTGTTGCATGATTCTTGATCGTGTTCCATGTTTTTCCAAATTTGTCCAGCTGTTACACTAATATCACAAAATTTTTCCAAATCGACGCCATTACCTAAAAAAAAAAATATTATTAATAAAAAAAATAATTAAAAAATTTATACGTATAGTAATATGTAGTATTACCATGATATTGTGGGTGCAAGAAAAAAGCTAAAAGGTAGATATTATTAGAGGATTCATTCCAACGACGATTAAATTTCTCAATACAGTAATTTTTAAATACTGTATTTTGACTTGGTAAACGAAAAATTGTATTCGCTAATGAAATTAAATAGACATAGCAATCGGCAAGATTAGAAGTCCTCGATTCTAGACACCCAACAAAAAGTTTAAGAGGGTAAAGAATAGACGCAATAAGCCGACAGTTGTTATAAAACGTTCAGTCGCAAAGAATATCTTTAACTTGTGTTTTAAGATCGTCCTCATGTTCTGAAAGAATCTATACAATATTATGCATCAAATTAAATTTCTTATCAAATTTATTAAAGTTTAACAGATTAGAGATGCAGACATATTACATGTTCCTCTGGTTATATTAACATCTGGATATACGACGTTTGACTATAACGACATTTTTTAAAATTTATAAATGCCTCAACAACTAGATATATCGAACAATTCCCTTATTTTTTGAGGTGTTGATATAACCAGGATGACGTATTATTACTAGCTATGAATTAGCTAGTTTTTTATTGAGGTAATTAAATTATTACCTTATCATATAAATATGCCTGCACCTCTAAATAAAATTATCCTTTAAATGGAAGTCGTCAATATTTATGTTTCATATAATTTTTAATTTAAAATCGATTGGTAATCAATTTTAAAACCTGGCTTCAGACTGTCTCTTTAAACAATTTTGCAGACAAATTTGCCTGCAAATTTCATGAGATTCAAGTTGACCGTTCAAGAGATAATCATTTTAATCATGTGCAAAAATAATTGGTCTGACATACAACTTGAATAAATATTAAAAAAAAAACCTTACCCTTATAAAAGCAAATTCAAGTCGTACAATTGAATTAACACAATCCCACATTGTAGACCAACGTGTTTTTGTATGATCCTTTAAATCGCCACCTTTAATCTTCAAGATTTTAATCGCGTCTTTTAAAAATTGGCATGCGGCATGTGATTTTGTAAAATATTTATGAATAATGCCGATTTTCCGAACTGCGCTTCTTACAAATTCATGTTTGCACAAGTCTTCTGTAATCAAATTAATACAATGTGCCACACATATAATATCCAAAATATAAGGATATTTCTCACAAAGTATTCTTTGTGCAACACGGGTATTTGCTGCATTATCAGACACAATCGCGGCTATTTTTTCTGGACCTATATCTTCGACAACCTTAATGATTTCTTCACCAAGAAATGCACCAGTATGATGAGGTACACCAGAATAATTTTTTGAAGCCCAAAGAAATTCTTTACGTTCTTCAGTGATTACACAATAATCATAAATGGATTGATCTAGAGGTATATAGTATTACAAATCGAATTTGGAAAAAATTAATTAGTTAACAACTAATCGATTAACCTTTTTAAATACCGTATTCCGTTCTCCCAAGTACCCTCCCTATAAAATATCCAGGAATCTTGCTATGAGTATTCAGATTTTAAGCTATTTCAAGCTTCAAGATGCCCAAATTTGTAAAAGACCCGGGGTACTTTGGCGAATGGAATACGGTATTAACTAATCAACTGCAGTATAACCTCGATATAACGAATATACTGTATATATATAACGAAGTTCATCTTTAGTTAGTCCTTATGTTCAAATTAGCCTGGATACTATTAAATTACCAGTTATCTAGGTAATATTTATTACGGCATATAATAAAAAATGTTTACCCAGTTACACAATCTTTAAAAAATTAATTACTTGATTAGTTGCAACTAATCGATTAATTGATTAGTTGCAACTAATTTTTAACTAAAATGTAGTTTATAACAGTACCTGTAGGATTGGTCCATCTGTCAAATGCAATTGTAAGATTAGTTTCTTTATCAAGAAGTCGCCTGACTTTTATATTTACTCGAGCAAGCTCTTGATCTAAAAGAGTATTTGATAAAACCCAACAGCTTGGAATAGAATAGGTAGCACGTAGGGCTTTGGTATATTCCTGAAAAAATGGATGCTCAACGATAGCAAAAGGTAAATTACAACACACGACCATTTTTAGTAATATCTTATTAATTTGGTCTTCCTTATCTAATGAAGTAGGAATATTCTCATATTCGCTATCAATATTAACACTATTTTCCAATTTTCGTTTTTTACTTGCTGCAGTCGATGTTGAGGCCATATCATTATCTGAATCAACACAATCGTTTGTCAATGATACTAAGACTTTAATTCTAGTATCTGACTCAACTTTTTGACATTCATACGCAAGATGCGTTTTGAGTTTACTTGGCTTTGCAATATTCCAATGTTGATCACAAAAAGAGCACGTTGCGGCATAATATCCTTTTTTAGATGACTCATCTCCCTTTAGAAACCATTTCCATACCTCACTAGGAGGACGTCCACCTAAATTTTTTTTAACTGAAGATTTTTTTTTCAAAGTCATTTTTTTTGTTCAAAAGAAAAAAAAAAATTTCTTATTTTAAAATATTCATCTTTATTTATTGTTATCTTTATTAAAATTTCGGCTACTATACAACGCTTCGTTTAGAATTTTAATTCTCATATAAAGGCTTCAATTAGATTCGACTTTAGTTAGCCTTTCGACCAAAGTTTTAGTTTCGGAAATGATCATCCTGGTCCGAAAATTAATAAAATCCGAAACTGAAACTAGGTCCGAAAATCCTGGGGTTTCGGTCACATGTATAATACTGACTAGAGGTGTAGATGAAACTTGAATCATTGGAATGTGCCGTGTCGAAAATCAGTTACAACTTGTCGATTAAAAATGCGGAAAATCGAAACTTGCGAATTCACCGATATAATTACATATGCCGTAACCTGTGTTGCATGCCATGCCATAACTTGTAACTAATACGTATCGTATCGTAACGTATGTACGTGCATACAAGATTTTTACGATTCACACGATTTAACAACATAGAGACGGAACAGTAATGTCTTATGAAAATAATATGGATGAAAGGCCAATTTAACTCCAACGGTGTACGGGAAATAAGAATAACTTTGGGTAAGTGAAATAGGTCTTTTATATTTATTAAAGGCAATAGGACGCTATAACGAATACTTTAATAATAATAGGGACGATGAGGGCGATGCAATTACAGATGATTCTGTTAAGGGTGATACTACAGTAAAGTGGTGATCTTAAGGACTGTGCTGGATTACCAGAGTCGAATAACTAATCGTATGCGTCGTTCTCTACCACAATTCACTAATGTGAATGGTTCCACAAACGTTCTAGAATCCGAGTCTTAATAATCCAGATCGAAGTTACAAGTCAATTCAGTCCGTCGAATTGAGTCTCGAAAGGGTTTATTAAAGTTACAAGACGAATTCGGAGAATACTTAACAAAGGAAAATTCAGATAAGTAGATTTATTTTATTATTTGTTGGTAACTAAGGGTGGATGAGAATTTTTGTTCCTTTATTGAATTCTAAGTGCTTATATACATTTTTTTTATATATAGGGTGCTTTCGCTCTAATCTGACGAATTCGCTCTAATTTGAACGTATTCGCGATTTCTTGGGTGTGTACACAGTTAGGGATGGCAACGGTCAGTCATTTTCGGCTAGCCGTTTTGTAGCAGCTGTATCTCGCGATCCAGTAGTCCAAATTGGATCGCTAGATCACGAGATAGCCGCGGCTTAGCCGCCGGTCGGCTAAGCCGAAAATGACCGACCGTTGCCATCCCTATACACAGTGTATACGCTCAAGGCGCAGGGATCAACAAATTGGTGTAATCGCGTATTCGCGATAATTTGGATATATACGCGATTTCACATGTGCTATTACCATTTTTGTATAAGTTATGAAATGTAAATTGATAAATTTACCAAAATTGGACATAGTTACCAAAATGGATTGGGAATTACTAATAAGTTATGTAATTTAGCGAGAAAAATAAAGTTTTTATTTTAGAAAATGAAGAAACTAAATTTTTATTCGTTACATATGCCTCCCCCTTGGGATTAAGCTCCTGCGAAATTAGATAGGATAATTTTTAATCTGAAGTTCCCGAGTGGTCCATGATCCTTTTAGTATGAAACGAATATTTCCTCCAGGATCGAAGATGGAAGTAAGGGGCCAGTCAATTAGTAAGTATCGGAGCCATTGATTGAATATATCTGAACTTTCATTTCCGGCACCTTTATTCACACTATTCTTAATTTTCATTATTGATTCTTCAAATCGATCGTCTAAACGCATACCATTATTTTCAATTTTATTCTCAAGTTTCGCAGATTTCAAAACCCATTTAGATACCATCCAATCGTTCTTAATCATGCCTATGCCATTTCGGAAGCAGGATCCGAGGTTGTATTGTCCAGTTGGGTTATTATCCTCAACACATCTTGTATACCATTTAATTACTTCGTTAGAGTCGGCAGGCATTGCTTCACCCTCTTTCTTACTGGGTAAACTAGCCCTTGACTTCCGACTACCTTTTTTGGTTTTCTTTCTTTATCTTCTAATGTTCTTGCATTCTTTAGTTCAATTCTAGAGCTTTATCTAGATCAGCAAGTGATTCGTCGAGATCATCATCATGGCGACTAATTTTCGCAGGGTTACTTAATGCGGGTGTATTATTTTTAGTATTAGTTCTTTTACGGAGAAGGTATGTTTCACTTTTTTTAATCGGTCCTTCTATCTTATATATTATTCGTTCATTCTTCTCATCAATAATCGTCTTCCCATCGTCATCTTTTTTACTATCATCCACTTTCGTATAGACGCTTACGATTCTTGGAACTCTCAAGGTTACTTATTTTATTTAACTCGTCATCTTTTTTATCCTTCGCATACCACTCATTCACACTCCTTTGTTCAACCTTTTCACTTCCATGCACATCGTCACTTATTTCAACGGGGTCACCAACCTCGGCAGGTTTTTGATAACAAACGGACGATCTTGCGCTTCGTCCGTCTCGGCCGATTGTTGATAATAAACAGGTACTTTATTCTCGTCTTTTTCAGTCTCTCTACCGGTTTCACGATAGCTAACAACCTGTATTCTATTATTCATTTCACTGGATCTTTGATAATGGTCGAATGCATTAGGTTCGTGCTTTTCAACTTCTATTTCAGTTTAAATACCAACTTATTTTTATCGAAGTCTTTTAGATAATCAAATTAAAGATCGAATTAATCATTTTCTTCTTCGGCTTTTTTAACACCAATCCCTCTCCATAACCCGTATTAGCAGGTTTTTCATAATATTCGAATACCGACCTTCGTCCTCAATTTCGATTCCATGTTGATACAAGTAACCAACATTATCCATTATACTAGCATTCTTCATGTCTGCTGGTCTTTGATAAACGAAGGCTTCATATTCGCCTTTTTCATCTCCTATTCTGTTTCGATAACAATAGCCAGGTTTGTTTATTCCATCTGCATGACCGGGTTATTTTTCCATGATTACTCTTTGGCGGGAAGTCAGTTTTGGGTTCAGTGTTTAAGACGTCAAGATAACCGTCAATTAAGTCCTCAAATCTACTTCCAGGTTTCCTTCAGGAACATCATGTAATTTAAGGGTGGTGGTCGCGGCAAGTCGGCTTGACTTTACTGGGAGAAGTTTTTTACAAGACGCCTTGATATACGAAGGCGATCGTGTTGTTTCCTTTATTCCTGACTTCTCCATAATTATTATATTTTCTAATAGCCCAATGTAAATTCCAAGGCCTCGGGAATCTGCTTATCATCAGTAGCTTCAGGAAATTTTTGGTTTATTATATTTAAAACCACTTTATGCTGTTCCGTGGTAAGTGTTGTTAGAAACAAATTGCACTTTTTATCTAAGCGCTCTATATTCGGGCACTCACAGATGGGTGGCTCCTTCTTCGGCACAAAGGTTTCTTAGGAAAAATTTTTCCTGTGTATTGCGAATCTCTCCTTGAAATTCGTCGTGTTCTTTATTATATCGTCAGGGAGCTCGAAGACATGGTTACTAGGGCTAGATGGGACAGGGCGACCTGACCTGTATTTGTTGAATAAGTGCCCTAATCAGTGCAACGAGGTTTTCAATAGTAGCGGGTTGGTTAGGCTGGTTAAAGGGATTGTAGTATGAGGTTGAATTAAAAAGTTGAGCCATGGATGTTTTTTCGATTATTTCTTTTAATTTATCTGATGAGCTAATTATATTTTATTAATTTTAGGTCGGGAGTTAATTATTCATTCCACACAATCGGCACCAAATGTAACTGTTGATGGGAGAGCTTATGAAAATAATATGGGTGAAAGGTCAATTTAACTTCGACGGTGTACGGAAATAAGAATAACTTTGGGTAAGCGAAATTAGTTATTAAAGGGCTAAATGGACAATAGGACGTTATAACGAATACTTTAATAATAATAGGGATGATGAGGGGGCGATGCAACTACAGGTGATGCTGCTAAGGGCGATACTAAAGTTGGATTACCAGAGTCGAATAACCAATCGTAAGCGCCGTTCTCTACCACAATTCCCGCAAGTTACTAATGTGAATGATTCCACTAACGTTCTAGAATCCGAGTCTTAATAATCCAAATCGATCAATTCAGTCCGTCGAATTGAGTCTAGAAAGGGTTTATTAAAGTTACAGGTCGAATTCGGAGAATACTTTACAAGGGAAAATTCAGATAAGTAGATATGTTTTATTATTTATCGGTAATTAAGAGTGGATGAGAACTTAGTTTTCTTTATTGAATTTAGTGTGTTTATATACATTTTTTTATCTTATAGGGTGTTTTCGCTCTAATCTGAGCGAATTCGCTCTAATTTGAATGCATTCGCGATTCCTTGGGTGTATACGCCTAGATCTGAGTGTATACGCTCAAGGCGCATGGATCAACAAATTTGTGTAATCGCGTATTCGCGATATTTGGGTGCATACGCGATTTCACATGTGCTAAGCCACCAAGCCACCCATTATTACCATTTTCAAAAGAAATTTACCAATATTAGACATTTTTACCAAAATGGATGGGGTAATACCACTAAATTATGTACAAGCGGAAAAGGTACCGACTAAAATATAAGTTTAAAACAAGAATAAAGAAACTAAAATTTTAATTCGTTACAGTAAATATTTTTCAAGGACAAAGCCTATGTTTAATTACCGTTACAATGTATCATAATTGTGCTTTAGAGCACTAGCTATTAATTGTTGTTACTGTTATATTATATGTAATATTAATGAAATCTGTGCCATTATATATATTTAAAGCGATAAATATTAAAATACATATATTATTCTAATTTCAAGCATTCGAGCTATTTAGTTTGCAACATCGTAATTAGTACTTCCTGCATCTATTCGTTGCATGTTTTGTTTGCTCTTCAATATTTTTGTGGCGCAGATACCTGATCTGCGAATCAGATTTCAAGATCACGGTGTAACGTAACACGATCGACAAATTCCAAAACAATCGTTCGTCTGCATAAAAAACCATCTAATAAAGCTATATAATTACCTAACCTTTAATCTTAGTCTAAACGATACCCTAACTACAATGAGCTTAAAAAATTTTTGGTAATTATAAAACTGCGCCATAAACCTGGCACAGAATTCATACGTGCAAATTATTATCATTATGCACATCAGTATAAGTTTAAACTGTCAGCGAAGCGACAGGTTAAATCTAGTAGAAATAAAAAAAAAAAAAAACTTCATATAAAGTTCACAAATTAATAAATACACGGAAAAGAATTTATTACATATCCTTTAGAGAATAAGTAGATCTGATATTTATTATTAATAAACTCAAACTAATTAAAGAATCTATAAGATATGAACCAAAATTTTGATTTACAAGTTAAGCGTAGCGATAAAATTTTGTTTAAATCCAACGTAATAAAGTAATTCTAACGTAATAAAGTAGAATCTTTCCAGTGTTACAAGAGAGAGACTTTATTGTTGCACTGCCAATTTAACTTTGGTCGTAAGCATTAGAAATAGGAAACCGATGATTTATTACTATGCACAAGACAATAAAAATACTATCTTCCAAAAGTATACTCGGTACACAAAGAATCCTCTAAAATACTCTATTTATATTAGGGTGTCCAGAATTCTGCAATCGCAGAAATTCTGCAAAATTTGCGGTGCATTTGCCGAATTCAATTAAATTTGCAAATTGCAGAATTTGCAGAATCCGTAGTTAAATAGTGTATTTTTATTGGCTTAATGATTTGAACTCGTAGAGTTTGCAGAATTTGAGGCGTAGCTTATTGTTAGCCCGAAATAATACTTGACAATTGTCTTGTCAAATCCCCGCATAAAGTTACCAAATAAAATTGATAGCTGTACAATTATGTGCAGAATATAACGGATAAAAATTGCAGAATTCTGGACACCCTAATTTATATACATTCTATTAGACTCAAATTGACTAAGATACTACTTATGCAAATGTAGTCATAACTTAATAATTGCATTAAAAATGGCGTAACAATGTAAAAGTCTAAATAAAGTAAACCTTGTTATACAAAAAAGCTTATTTAATGATATTACTTTTTTTTTTCGTAACAACAGTTATCTTCACTTTACAGTATAATTTCACGTAATCCAATAAACGGTGATATATTTTGTCTTCTAAGCAAAGTATTCGAGGAGTGAGATCTTTTAGAGATTATTTGCACCGTGAATACTGACGTTACTTCGAAGTTAGAAATAGCTTTTGCGGTAACATTTTTATAGTGATACATTACGTCCTCAAAAAGTACTTTACAGTGTATAAGTAAGTTACCCGGGCAATTGATTTGCATCAACCAATCAGACGCATGTCCTTCCATGAATCAGAAATCCATGCACGCCAGCAGGACCTGCATTTTTTATTGTTTAAAAAATTGGGTTAAAACATCGGCGTCTGATGCTAAAATTTGGCTGTAACTGAAAATACCGTTCTAATTGGTTAATTTCGGTTTCAGTTGATATGGTCGAGAAAATTGTCTTTTAAAAAAAAAAATGTATAATTTTTATAATTCTTGAATTTACTACAAATAGACGTGTAAAAACAATTGTGAAAGAAGTATAAGGAATACGTAATTTATCTATTAACTAAGTATGCATGGATCGGAGTCGAATTTTTCATTAATCGGAAATTGAATAAATTAACCAAGTGTGTAAACAAATTAGTGGAATATCACAAAATTTACCTCTGAAATCACACTGGTTTCAAAACCTGTATGGTGTGATATCACCATGTAAGTTAGATGCATTTCTGAAATCTGTGCCAGGTTATGCATGTTGCCGATCATCATGTAAAATTTTTTAAAATTTTTAAAGTTCATTAATATTAGGGTTAGGGTGTTTCATATAAAGTTAAAACTAAGTGGGTGTAGAGTAAAATCGCGCAAGAAAAACTTTTTGTTAGAGCACTAAAGGTGGTTTATTATGCAGATTTTTGAGAAAGAAGGATTTTTGACAAAACGAACGTTTGTTTTGATCGTGCTACGTTACACCTGATCTTCGAAATCTGATTTGTAGATCATGCATAACCTGGCACAGATTTCAGAAGTGCAAGTTAGATACAACCCATCTTTTTTCTTCAAAAATTTACCATTGATAAAGGTCGCTCAAGTATTACTTTTAATTTTTTTTTACATATCAAACATAGGTCGCTCTCAAGCGCCTCAATCAATGAGTCAAAAAATGTCGGGGAATAAATTTTACTTAGCGGAAATTATTTAAAATTAATTAAGCGTGTTTATCATTACGATGAATAATGCGTAAATTAATAAAGTTTATTACGTAATAAACCATTTTTTATTAGTAAAAGACATTAAATGAATTTTTCATTTCAATCAACAAACTTTTTACAACAAACCTCCTTTTTTTTATACCTGCCTTTGAAAATTATACGATTAATAGAGTATTCATAGAGATCGCTCAAACAACTTTGCAATGGATCATCATTTTCGACGTCAGCGAATTATTATTTTACTTCTCACATCAAAAGTTTTTATGAAAAATAAGGAGACCGTTCAAATATTGACTGCAATGTTTGTTTTGATTGATTGTAATAAATGAGCACTAGTACAATCACTCACTAATTACATCGAAAAAAATGATGCTTGAGAAGATTACAATTACGTCATAAATTGCATATTCGAATTTTCATCAAAAATTTTATGTAAATTAATTATGCTTGAGCACTATTACATCACTTGCTAATCACATTGCTTCATAATAAACAATGAATTCTCAACAAATTTCTAACCAATATGAAAAAAATAGTCACTTTATTTTTAATTCTCGAAGCTTCTAAAACAAATAATTGATACTTTAATATGAATGTAATAAATGTTGCAGATCATAATGAAATCAGATCATTGTGAAATTTAGGGGTCTCAATTTAAAGATATAAGCTCTACCAAAATCCACCTATACTCTTTTCCTAATAATTCTAACCCTAAACCCTAACTTAACTATAAAAAAAAACCTAACTAAAAAGGTCCCAAAAATTTTTAAAAATCGTACATAAAATAAGTTAAATTTCATTATGATCTGATTTCATTATGATCTGCCACAGTAACTATGGTGTTTTCAGCACCTATAACGAATATAATCTAAAAATGAATAAAAAATTATTAAATGTAAAAAAATTTATTACTAATATTGTTATTTAAAGATTTTAATACATAAAGGTAAATAATGGGATAGAAAATATGCTTGTGTTAATGCTATTGTAAAATTATATGCTTGCTATAGCTGCTAAAATCTTATCAAATATTGTCGGCTGTCACTTAGATTATAAGCGCGATGTTAAGGCATACCAAAAATGTGTACAAAGAGACAAACTTCTTAAAATTCGGTAAGGTTAGGGTTAGAGTCAGGGTTAAGATTTAGAGAGGAAAAGTTTATATAATAAAATTGTCCAACGAAAATGCGCAAAGGTGGTATCTTATACTGATTTATGAGCTATGAGCGATTTTTGGCAGAACGAACGTTTGTTTTGAATCTTCTTGACCGTTTTACGTGACACCTAATTTTGAAATCTGATTCGTAGTTCAGGAAAGCTGCGCCGCCAACCTTTTACGTACACATTTTCGGTATGCGATGTTAGGTAGCGTCATTGTAAATTCTCCTGATAAAGTGGCTAACATTCCATAACTCACAAATGTCTCTTATACTTTATGTGCCCCTTAATCAACTTATATTTCGGACTGGGCACGACTCAAGTCGACTCAAGCTTTGGGTGAGTCGAGTCGACTCAGACTCTGAGCGAGTTGAGTCGAGGAAATTCCTAGGAATTCTTAATAAGATTAAGCTCTGGGTCGATTTGACTCGCTGAATGGACATACAGATTATCCAATTCCAAGCACAAACTTAAAACCCTTAAAATCAGTTAATAGACGTGGTAAAAACGTGAAATATTTCACAATGCGTTGTATCACGTTTATAACTTGTTAAATTTGATGAGTAATAAGTGTTCTAAGTTCATTGTGTAAATATACTCAGAGTTGCAAATTGGTTTATAATAGAAGTAGTAATGTCGTAGGTGGGAATAGAACTTAAGTTGATTCGGAATTTATAAGGTTAGAGGGGGTGGATTCTGAACCCTATTATGATTCTATTCCCACTTACAACAGTAATAGTTTCATAATGAGTAAGTAATGCATTCTCTCTGAGAATGATAAGACAAAGCAATAAATTTACATGATTAAAATCAACGCTATTTACATATAATTAAAATCAAAATATTATATTAATATTAATAATAAAATGCTAATAACGGTATACTAACATTTTATTTATTTATATCTTTAATATTGTAATATATGGATATTTTATATGATCGTTATGATTTTTTAGTATTTTTTTTATCGCCAGATATGTATAATTTCATCACAGGAATTTCTTTCATTAAGTTAATCTTGCTATACAGCATATTTAATTCCGATAAAAAATTTCTTATTACCTTATCGCATGACCAATATTGTATATATGTATAAACTTTCATTTAAAAAATTCATTTAATCAGTGATATTAAACATCAATAAATTTAATGCTCATATAATGATATATTGTAAATGATGAGTGATGCATTTCTTTTCTTTCAATGTTAGGTGAGATACTTTTGACGGCTGATGCATAACAGACTCGAATTAAAAGCTATATTTATAAGAGAAATAACAACTTTCAAGTTAAAAATTGCTGTAATCATTTTGTTTTATATAATTCATTTCACAATACGTCTATTAAAATATTCTTATTCAATTCACTGATGGCTGCTCAAACACAAAAACTTTTATCTTTATCATTCATATTCTCGTGCATGATTATTGCAACGATTGCAGTAAGCTGTCCCTCATACTTAAGAGAACGCGATGTATATAAACCTTACGATCAAACACATCGTTACAATGAACGGGCTATTATTTACGACGATTTTGATGATTTAGATGATTTAGATGAATATGATGTGGTTTACCCGGTTTACCCTGACGATGATTTAGATGAATATGATGTGGTTTACCCGGTTTACCCTGATGATGAATACGATGTGGTTTACCCGGTTTACCCTGATGATGATTTTTTTGATGACGACTTATTAGTTTACCCTGATGACGAATTATTAGTTTACCCTGATGATGACTATTTGGATGACGATGACATATTAGTTTTAAGGGATGAATATGGTGGATCCGGTGGAGAGAAGTATTTTCCGTCCATAATTTAAGGGAATGAATATGACGAGGAATACGTGGATACGGTGGATACGGTGGATACGGTGCCATGAAAAAGAATATTTTCAGTTCTGCAAACGCCGTTATCGGAACTATTATATTAAGGCCGTTTAAAGTTAATTAGTTGGTTAACGTCATCCCCCCCTCCTCAGATTGCTGCCCCCCCCCAAAAATAAACACTTAGTATTATTTATATGCACAAACTCGAAAATCAACCAATCAGCGGCTTTAATTTTGTCCATTTAAACTTATTTGAAATTACAAATAACAAAATCTTCCAGAAATTTTTATAATAAAGTTTTTTTTACAAATTAATTTGAACAGATTATAAGAGCAACCAGGTAGTTACAAGGGATATCCTGTGTCAGAACAAGAACTGCAGGGGTAGATTGGAAGCATACGTAAGTCTGGTAGTACGTACATACGTATTGTAACGAATAATTCTTCCCTTGTCTCTCACTTCCGTATTTGTCTAATTCATTAAGTTGTCACATACCTTCCATAATTGTATCGCCATAGCCAAGTTAATCTTACCTTTCTAGTATTAGGCGGCTTAAGAATATTATTTCGGATATGTATCGTAGGCGTTTAAGCCTACTACGTAGGCGTAGTTAAACACTGGCCAACAAAGGGTAATACGTAAGCTTAGTCGTAGCGAAGTAACGTAGTTAGAAATCATAATGTATATAATTATCAGTTTAAATGATGGTGATGACAGATTTTGTGTAATTTGATTAATAATGCATAACGATAAGTAAGAAATAACAATCTAGTATAATCTTGAGCAAAACTTGTTCTTAATAAATATGTCTCATGAAAATCGTGTATCAGTATAGACACATAAGGAAAAAATATGCATTAGAAAAGCAAAATATTAAAAGACAAGCAAATATAAATATGATAAATAAGAACCTCTGAGCAGATTTAAGATGCAGCACGAATTTTGAATAGAATACCTATTATGATTAAGTTTTTTAAAAAGCTTAGCGTTGGTTACTGAGATTGTAGAATTGACATGGAGGTAACAAGAAATTGGTTGGTTACGACAATTATACGCGGGGTTAGGGGCGTATAAAAAAAAGAAAAGATACAGGTTTTGTGACAATAATTATACACCAATCCAAAATTAATTCATTCATTCAAATTAGCCCATCATTTTTTTTTTAAAATTGTACGTACATATACGTACCAGTATACATGCAAATTTCTAAACATTTGTTCGTAATGCTGTACTTATTTGTAACTGTTAAGCGTGAGTCCCAAATCCCTTCTACAATATTATCAGATGTTTTATTCGAAATAGATGATGATCTTACTTTTCAAGACCTTTTACAACAAGCTGATCTTGAGTATAAAAGTAGTGAGATTGTTAAGGTTGAAGTTCGTTGTGTGGGAAACAAACAATACAATACAGTTGCATCCGGAGTTAAGAGTAGTTTGGCATTGTGCCGAAAAGATGAAAGAAATGTATCACATATTCGATTTACCATTAGTGATGGATCTATTCAATCAACTAGATCAACTAGCTCAAACGATTATTTAAATGCATTTAATATCATGATGGAACAGTCTAGTATACGTTCTCTTCCTCCCCCAAAATCTGGTAATACCAAACGGGATAAATTATATAATGATATGTTATTTATATTGCGAGAAAAAAATTGTGGATGGTTAAATGGAAATGAAACTACTGTAGGGAAGCGATTTTTAGAAAGTCTTAATGCTTTGCTTTGGGAACTTGATGAGCATCATCAGAAATTACAAGATCGGGGTTGTCAAATTCCTGAATTTGTTTTATCTTTACATGGATATCAGAATAAACAGTATTATAAAAAGGAATCTCATCATAAAAAAGGAAATTTGCAACGTTCTAAACTAGATTTATTAGTAAAAGGCATTGAAAATTGTATATCTCAACCTTGGGCAGCAAGTGATTTGTGGAGTGAATTTATAAGAGAGGTTTTTATGTTAATTTCGTGTGTTCAAAAATATATGGAATATCTAGAAAATGTTAACAGAAGTGTTAATACAATTCGTAATGCTATGCAACCTGCACGTAATCCATTAGATAATAGTGATATTAAGATTCTAATAGAATGCTTTAGACAAGATCTCAAAGATTGTTATAAATCATTAGCTACAAAAATTCGTGAAACAAATGCTTATGAGGTTGTTTTATTGGATGAATATTTGCCACAAAATAAATATGAACGATATAATTTTATTCAAAATTTACAGTTAGATTCAACAATTATGCTTTATCGATATTATCATAGTAACTATCTTGGAACTTTAAATTTTATATGGCGCATTCCTTTGGATCCCAATGAAAGATCAGATAATTTACAAGCAAAAATAATAATTGAAATTCAAGAAAAACTTCCTCATTATTTTACTCGTGGAATGAGAAAAAATATATTTGAAAGGGTATTTTTTTAATTATATAATTTTTAAATAAACTAAAATTATTTTAATATTAAAGTTATTTATATTTTATAGTACTCACTTTTAACACGAATTACACCGAATGTTTTGCGTTTATTGTATTATGATTTAACTGGTGATTCTAGTGTTGGTGTAACAGAAAAAGTAAGGCAAATGGATGAGCGACTTAGGCTTATGTTGGAATTAGGTGATCCAGAAATTATTGTAGACCTTCGAACCAATAATGGATTTAAAGGCACAAAGTTTGATATATTTTGGGATGAAGTTTCTGCATACTTTGAAGAGGTTAACCATTATATATTATTTATTATTTATAATATTATAAAATAAATTTAACTAATTTAATATTTATCTGTTATATTTCTTAGAATATACCAGCAGTTCAAGATAGACGTCATGAATCTATACTATATATGCCACTTTTTATATCAGTTCGAGACTTAAAAGATATTATAGTTTCGAGACTAAATCAAAAAAAAAATGAAAAAATAATTGAAGATTTTTTAGTTCCTTCTGAACAATGGATTGCTTTGCAATTTTATCCAAAAAATCTATGGATTAAATCTAGTATAAATTATGTTGGACGATTTGAAATTAAATACAAGGTTCAAGCAAGACAACTTAGAAAATCACATCCAGATGCACATTATTGTCGTGCAATATTTAAATATTTTCGTCATTTTGCAGTAAAATTTAAAGAACATACTGTATTAATATTTGCTGATGATAAGCATAAAGTACCTATTGGTGAAGATGTTGCAACATCAACTGGAGTACGAAATAAAAGTGTAGCTATCCCAATTTCAGCTATATTAAATGCAAGTGATCATGACTTTACAAAGTTATCATTAACACCATCAGTAATGTTATTAGCTACAATACCTGAAGAACCTACAGATTCATTTTATAATGGCCAAGTTTTTGTAGCATATAAAGATACATTTTTCAACCTAGTTCAGCTCTTCGACATAGTACAGAATTTTATAATAATTTAAATTCTTTTTATGATGAGTTCTTGCCTGAAATTCTAATGATTTACACAGATGGTGGTCCAGATCATAAATTCACATTTGGTTCAGTTCGAATTTCTTTAATATGTCTTTTCCTTAAGGGTAATTTTGATATGTTAATAGCTGCTAGAACTGCACCATATCATAGTTGGGCAAATCCAGCAGAGAGAATTATGTCAATTATTAATCTTGCATTGCAAGATGTAGCTTTACAACGTGATCAAATGAGTGAAGAATCTGAATTAGTATTTGCACAACTTAAAACTTTAGAATCAATTCGTAAAAAGCAAAAAATAATTTAAAATTAAAAATAGAATTATCTGTATCAATTAAAAAATTTTAAATGAAAGAACAACACGATTAAAACTCCATGATGATTACTTTTTAGTTGGTCAAACTGCTACAAATTTAGAAATTGAGCAATTTTTTAAGGTAATTTAATGCTATATTTGAGTACTGTTAAGGAAAAACCTGTTATCAGGCTTTCAATTATATTTTGTACTGATATTATTTCTAATAAATTAGACTGGTTATATCCAGTACAAAATATATTAAAAGCTTAATGATAGATTTTCTCTTGATGGTACTCATTTGTTACAATTTAATAACAAATTATTCATAACTAAATTGTATATATATTTTAGACCATTCATATAATTGATCCAAGTCTTAAACAAACAATGACTACATCGAATGCTTTAAAAAAACAACAATTTTATAATGATTTTTTAAAATCTCATTGTCAAATTCAAACTTATACATTTCAAATTAAAAAATGTACAAGCCAAGAATGTCAAATATGTCAACCAATTCGAATGCCACATGATCAATTTGAATTATTATCTTTTTTTACCTGATCCTGAAATTTCTGCAGGTAAAATTTTATAATAAACTTTTAAATTTCGGCATTCTTTTTTGTACATCATTTTCGTGTAACCTTATGTACATCAGATCTTGTCAGCCAATGAAATCGCAAGATAATTACACATGATTTTTTGGCTAATTTTGTGTAACACTATGTACATCAAATTTATCATATACGTACGTACGTACGTACGTACGTACAGTACGTTTGTTCACGGAAGTGCAACATTTACAATAATGATACTTATGCTATAACAGCATAAGCTGTTCTTTATAAAATAAGACATTTTTATTATCTTGGCATTATGTATATAGAGAAAATAAACGGTTAAATTTCATTTCGAGCAACATTTTTTTTTAAAAAACTGCACAAGAAAATAAGCGTTATTGAATCGATATCTTTATTATTAATCAACATAAATCGAATGCACCATAGATATTAAAGACGATTTAAAGATCATATAAACTTCATGTTCCCGTTACTAATAAATTTTATTCAATTGTTTGAGCCAGCCTGAACTATATGACGATTAGAATCGTTCGAATTATTGTATAGTTTGAGCTCGGTAATAATCAACTCTAGTAAGAAAAATGGAAACCTGCATTAGAAAGTAATTGTAGCAATGATAATAGAAAAACATCTTTAAAATAAATATCTCAGATATATTACCGTATTTTTAATTTAGTTATAATTCGTTGAATATATAATAGTTGTACGCTTACTGCAAAATGTTACTTTTTCTTACATACAATTTATCTAATCATCGTCTATTTTTTAATACTTACCTTACAATCTTTCTTGTTTTCTTCTAGTATAAGTAAATCAATATGTTTGCTTGCAAATATGTTAGATAAATTGAATCATGCAAAATACAAAGCGCAAAATACAAATGCAAAATGTCTCATACATATATATCAAATGCAACACAAATGAAAACCTATGTAAAAAGAGTAAGCCAATCTGTAGAAAAACCTAGACGATTACAAATAGGAATATACTGTGGGTTTAAAGGTGGAACTTCCGCAGACTTATTTGGCTTGAATTTGATTAACACAATGTGATTACTTTCATACCATTGTAAAACAACGGGCTTTCTACGAAGACCAGGTTTTTGCCCAAATGGTAAAAACAAAAGACTAGCATTAGAGTCTGCACCGAATATTACAACTGGTACGTTGAATGTGTCCGATGCTAATTGTGCGCATTCTGGAGTATAAAACCAATATTCTTGTGAAGACCCTGATACCATATGTGACAGAACATTCATAAGCCGATTGGTGTCATATCCGAGTATGTGATTATACAAATCCATTTGTTTGGTTAACTGAGATCTCATATTAATCTTTACATCCTGCCAACGTTCTTCTTCTTTAAAAATAGCCACTGCTAGGGATCGAAAACCACAATTACCATCTCCAACTGGGTTGTGAATTTGCGATACTGCGTCTTGGGGAATTCGTGAATCAAGCTTTATACTAGTTGGATGTGATGTTTTATTGTCTTTTCCTAATTTTTGTTTAGCTGAAGTTTTTTTTAAGGGCGGGTCATTTTCTTTATTTTCTTCAGCACCACGAATACGTTTGTTGTTAGGTGGTCTGCCACGTTTACGTTTTACCTTTGGCATTATGAGATTACTACAATCTGCAGTATTATCGATATTGATTGTCTTAAATGTTACTTGCTGATCAATATTATTATTATCCATTTGCAGCTTTGGCATTGTTCCATTTTCCAGAACATATTCTACAGTATGTTGCATTAAGTCCAAAAATGCATTATGATGAAATTTTGGCAACTTATTAAAAATTTCGATAAAATGGGAAGGAACAGGATCTGTAACATGTTCTGTTTTTGCAGTATCGGTATATCGTGCATACCAACGCTGGTGAATCTCATTTTGTGAAACAGGAGTATGCAAGTACCGTAAATATAATACAATTATATGTTGGCAGGGGGTTCTTGTACGTCGAGGATGCAGGCATGTACAAGAACTAGGCTTACCGAGTTGCACTATATAAGTTGATTTGTTTAAACCATCTATTTGTACCACATTGTATGTACCATCTTCACATGCAAAAACTTCATATGCATCATGTATTGCAAGATCTCCCTGTTGCCTTATAAATTTTTCGAATGCAAACTGTGAACAAATTAAACGTAGTTCTTCCAGACTTTTGTCAGTTTTATCGTGTGTGCTTCTATTTTGATGCAAGAATGTCTCATACGCAAGCTTTTGGGAATGTTCTTGAAGTTGCCGCCAAATAATTGAAAGTAATTTATCAATTGGAGTAATTCGGTTTTCAACACCCTTTAGTTTGCTATGCAAACTTTCTACACGTTGAGTTGACCTTATATCAAGGTTGATATTATTATTCACATATGGTGCGAGCCAGCTTTCCTTATGCCGCATCCAAGTTTCATTCATGTAAGTTTTGGCATTTGGAAATCGTTTCCACAATTCCGCTATTTCTTGTTCAATCTATTAAGTTTTAAACATATGTGTTAATTTGTAAAAAAAGAAAAAAATAAAATAAAATTAAATAAAAAAAATTAAAATAAAAAAATAAAAAAACAAAAAAAAAATAAATAAATAAAAATTATTACTTCATTTATTGAAATATCCCCGTATACAAGCTTTTGAAGAGCTTGAATAAATTCATCAATTTCGACGTCCTTTTTGAGCTTGTTCCGAATGTTTTTAAAGATGTGCCAAATGCAAAGTTGATGCCTGGCATGAGGAAATACTAAAGAACATGCTGTGATGAGAGCTAGCTCTCGGTCAGTTATGAATGTTGCTACTTGTGCATCGCCCGTCAGTATAGTTAACACCCTGTTCAATTGTTGCATCACCCAACGATAAAAATCACATGTTTCTGAGTAAACAAGAGCAAAGGCCAAGGGGTAGGTTGATCCAAATTGATCGATGCTACAAATAACTATTAAGGGCATCGAAAACCTATTGGTTTTGTACGTAGCATCGACTATTAAAACATCCTTTGCAACCGCAAATTCAAAAACTGCATGACGGTATGCCCAAAAAACCGCCTGAATAAATTCACCGTCTTGGTCACGTTCATCATTGTGTATGGCTTTTGTTGCAATACTACCCAGAACATTTTCATCATGTTGCAGAGTTTTAAGTAATACCTCGATCTCATTTAAACCTTGTAATTTCTTTTGACGCTGACGACTTATGGCATTGTAAACGTCAGGCTTGTGGACATATTTTGAACTTACTGAATTAAGCACTGAAAATATGTCTCTTGTGCAGAGTCCATTGTCGCAAAGTTTTTCGATTAGGCCAAGATCATCTTGGTCAAATTTACGTATAGCAGGGCTAAATTTTGTTGCTTCCGGGCAAATATCATGGCAATGTTCAAGGCAACACTTTGTAATTACAAAGTTTTTTGAACGCTTTCGGTAATTTATACCAATCATAAAAGGACAACCGGTCCGTTTAGTAGTGTGTTTCTCCTCTTTTCCACCATACTTTCCTTGTCTTTCACAAACAAAATACGCCTGCCTATAGCCACTGCCATCTGGATTCTTAGTTGTTCTACCTAAAATTAATACGGTGTTGGTTTTTGCAGCATATGTTTCTATAGCTGCACGTGCTTCAGGAAAAGTGGCGAAAATGGATCCGGTTCTAATAGTATCAATATTCATTTTTAAAAAAAATTGTAGTTACGATCATAAAGAAGAAAAAAAAATAGAGAGACGCATTCGCTTTTGTTATCAAAAAATGTTAGAAAGAGAGAAAGCCAAAGTCAAAAAAAAAAACTTATATGATATTTATATGTCAGATTTTAGTAGTTTTATTGGCCGATAAAAATTATGTATTTCTGTGCGATTTTATTAGTTGATAAAAATTTGATGTACATGAAATTATGCGACGATTTCATTGGCTGACAAGATCTGATGTACATAAGGTTACACGAAAATGATGTACAAAAAAGAATG